GTATCAGGCACTTAAAAGATGTAGTAGTGCATGAAAATAAATACTAATGGAAAGAAACAAATTTTAAGGAGCTACGAGATATGAAAGTCTGTATGCAAACAAATAAAATTAAGATATATTAGAGGATTGTAAGAAGAATCACCCCATGCTTGGACGACAACTTGGCTCAGGATGCAATAACCATAAACAAAAGGAGGCTTCCTTTGGGCACTTCAGTAACAACTGGGGAGGAAGAACTCGATGTCTCAAACTAGACATTGTTCTGGTCTTTTCCTCTCTGGAGCTAAATGGGCAGAATAACTGTAGAAACATGGAACTACTTGTAAGTTACAAGGACAAAAATATCATAAAATAGAGCCAAGATAATGAATTAATTATTAAGTAGAAACTGTCCAAAAAAGTTTAAAATCATGATAAGTGCAAGAAATACTTAATTTTTTATTTCATACCTCAAATAAGAGAACCCCCAACCTATAAATGTCAGAAGCACAGGTGATTGGTGAGCCGGCAACCTCCTCAGGACTGGTGTACCAACTGGTCTCCATAACCAGTGTCTGCTTCATTGGAAATGGTTGCCCCTTCTCTACTACTTGTTCAAAATTCCTCCCTGCTAAAATTTTATTTTCTTCACTCTCTTCTGACATTGCATTCCTTGCACATACTGAACTTGACTGCATGCAAATGGCTTCTGATAAAGCATTTGTTGGGGTTTGGAGATCTTTATCCATTAACCTACCACTTTGAGACATCTCAAGGAGCAAGGGCGATGACAAATTCTTAACTGTCATGCTTTGACCATTTAATCCATCCTCAATGGAATCAGATCCAGAATCCGAACAAGATGCAGATTCAAGGAAGGAAACATGGTTGAAGGAGGACATAACAAAGCACGATGGCCTAACATTATGAATTACAACTCCTTGAGAATGGGATGCATTTACAATTTCCGCTATCTGTCTGAATATATGCAAGCACTCAAACACATCAACAGATCTTTCTGGTATATCCAACCACTGCCTCAAGCTAACATCGCCCCATTCTATGGACCCAACAAAAGGTTTTACTACTGCCTCATCCTCACAAACCCCAGACATGCCAACCTGACTTCTAAGTTGATCATTCTGAGCCAGCAAACCCCTATTACCCTCCTTTCCAAACCCAAAATCAAGCAATGTATCACCTGAAATGCCAATTTGTTCAGCACGATGCTGCCTTGGATCACTGTCTGAGACACCAGAAGTGTTGAATGCCCTAGAACTACGTGATTTATGCCAAGCAGGTTGAGAAGAACCCTCCATTGATATCCACCAGGGTTGCATGAATCCCACAATACACGCATCCAAGGAATCGAAGAATTCTCGTGCTTCTTGGACAGTTTCTGATCTCCACCATTATCATTTTCGAATCAAAAGTTTATGCCATTTGTCACAAATAAAGAGACCAACTTTCCATCAACAAACAGAAACACAATTCCCTGTGGGCACACACAACCAAATAAACAATCTTTAAACATGCAGAATTTTCAGCCCACACACCATCACAAGCAGTACCCCCACCTATCAGAAAAAAACTTAACAAAGCTAACAGCAAAAAATACAAAACCCCTAACCCAACCATATGATTGCATTCAAACAGACCCAATTCCTAGCCCCAAAAGACATAAGCAACATCACCAACAAACCCATCAAAATATGTACATACATATGGCTAGAATATAGGGTGTGTCTCAAACTCTCAGATAGGGAGAAAGAATAGTTACCAGTATCACAGTGGAGGGATGTTCTATTCCTGCTATACCAATCTGAAGAGAGAACCACAAGGCAAAAGAACTTTAAGTTGTCACCAAAAAGCTTTTCAGGTTCAGCCAAGTAAAAATCTCTATGCAATCACAATAAAATGGAAGAGACAAGATTTCCCAAGATTAAACACAGACGGCTTGTATGAACACAGAAGAATCACTTCTCTCTGATATCTAGGCCCGCATTTAGGCTGCAACTGTTAGTCTGTATCATGTACTTACTCCCACTTTATTTATGGTCTCTTCTACAAAGGTGCACCACTCTTTTCAGCCTTCATCATCTTCCCATTTTATTCCACATGGCTTACGTGGTACAACCATGACCTCAAAGCTGGGTTTATGGAACAGGATTAAAAAATAAATATTGGGGTACCTTGTTTTTTGCAATAGAAATACCAAAGGATTACTCATCTCAGAGTTAATGAAGTGAATCAAGATAAAGTATAAATCACATGAGGGAAAAGTATTTTAAAGAATATTCTGTTTTAAATGATAAATTATTAATGGTTTGATGAAAACAATTTTTTTTTAATATTAGGGGTTTTTTCATTAAATTTTTTATTTTATAATTTAAAATAATTTTAATTATAAAATAAAAAACACTTGCAATATTTACTATCTTAATTTAAATGTATTTTATTCTTAATATTTATTAGGGTTTTATTTACTATAATAACAATCAAATTATTTTTATTTTTTGTATTAAAAAATAAGATAAAATAAAAAACTCAAAACATAAATACTTGGGCCCATTAATTAAGAAATACTAAAAAATTAGACTTTCAATTAGAAAAAAGGGCTTACTAGGTTTGGTTAGCATCCCACTTTATAAAAAAAAAAAAATTATTAAAAAAAGTAATTAAAGAATATTATATAAAAATTAAAAAGTATTATAACAAAAATTGTTAAATTTTATAATAAATTTTTATTACATTATTACTTTTTTTATATTTAATAAAAGTTGATATAAAAAAATTAACGGAAAAATAATTAGACGGATGAGAAACATTTTTCTATTAAAATAAGGAGAAGAAGTTAAAAATTATCCCAGAATAATATTAATAAGAAAAAATATGTAAATAAAAAGAAAATTTTAGAGAATTTTAATAGGAAAAGCTTTCCCTAATTGTTAAAACAAGAAAAGGGGGGTCTAAAATGCGAATTTGCCAGGTAAAGAAACCCAAGAAAAGATCCAGAATACTACTTTGCTTCTGAAATCCCATAAATTAGAGTTTAAAAACAGTAGATGTTAAGGGGGTTTCTGAGGTGACAGACTTGTTTGCTTTTCTAATCTCTTCCTCCATTAATGAAGAAATATAAATATGATAAAGGAAATATCTTTTTCTCACTCTTCTTCTTTTTTCCTTCAAATTTTTTAATCCAAATACACTGTCAAGGATTCTTTGCTCTGGTTCAACCCAAAATTGAGACTTTGAAGCAAAGGATGAAAATGAAATCATTCATAACTTTAACATCAATTGGGTGGGTGGTTGAGAAGAGATTGTTGGAGATACACTTGGCATCCATTTTCAATCAAGGATTGATAAAAGGAGAGCCCTTTCAATAATTTCAAACTCTAAATGGGTAGTGCAACACCTGTTAGACAACACTTGAGAGAAAGTAATTGTAATCTGTGAGCAAATATCATCTCACACCATTGAAAATGATTTCAACTTTCTTGTCACTGCCCCAATCAAAATAAAGGGAATTAGTTTGATCATTGGCATTCTTGTAAATTTTTGGTCTTTCCCTGTGTTTTGGTTACCTTGCTTTCTCCCTTCTTCCTCAAAGAGCAACCAACACAATAAGCCCTAATTTTTTGTGTTACTTTACATGAACCTTATCATGGGTAGTGGGTTAATAGGATTTGTTGTCCAATGAATATACAAAATAATATAGCATGTTGATTTTTTTTTTTTTTTTTTATGAAGATTTAAGCAAAATGGCATGCACCATATCCAAATATAAAAAGATTTAAGTAAAATAAATAAACAACTATTTATATGCATGTTAATGCTAGTGTATTTCCTAAATGAACATCTAAAACATGAAATTTCCCTTCATTCATACAGTTTGGACACTCAAGAAAATTTCTTTGAATTAGTACCTAAAAATCTTGCAAACCACACAAGGACTTAGTTGAAGGTTGTCTAATCAAAACAGTAAACTTAGTACAAAGTCCTAAGTTTCGTAAATTAGAAATGTTGCTCCTTGATGTTCATAACCTGAGTACTTAGTTGTTTTCCATCTGCAAGGAGAGTTCTCCCACCTCCTTTTGCAACTTCTGGATCTTCTCCGGATGATGACACCGGTAGCATTCCTTTATGTGCTGTTCAGAGGGCATCAGGGCTTTCAGCTCTCACACCTCCTTTTCCAACTTCCTGATCTCCTCATGACAATCACAGCAATCCTTGCAATGCCCCTCCAATCAATAAGGCAAATAATCTAGGATATATTATTGGAATCCCATTCCACTTTCTTTCTTTTTTTTTTTCCTTTTTTTTTTTAAAAAAAAAAAGAAGAGAACTGTCAACACAAGTGAATGAATCTTGATTCTTGAATTGCATTTGAACCATAATTTCTGACAATTGAATCTTCTTTTCTTTCCTACAGCATGCCCAAACAGTATTGATTTTCTAACTCAACTGGGTTTAAAAAGTACATATGAACAAAGGGTTAAAAAATATGCTTTCCTTTTTCCGTTTGGTTTCCTCATCAAGGTACATTTGAGTTGTAAAAGACATAGTTAAGAGGTAAAATAAAACAATCCTCCAAAATTCCACTTAATTCAATAAATTTTATATTCCCATATAATTCAAAGTTTCAAAACGTAAAATACCTTTCTTTTTATTTTTTTTTATGACCTTTTGACCACACCTTAATTTTAATTTTAATTTTAGTTAGAGTCTGCCTTTTTTGCAATTTAAACTATATTAAATTGTAAAATAAGGACTTCTAAATTAAGAAAAAACTTCAAATATCAAGAGATCCACTCTTCATTCAAGGGTTTACATTTTACAGTTCAGTCCAGTGCAGATTGCAAAACATGTTTTCGTTTAGTTAAATCCAACATAGATTCAATTTCATCTTGTTGAGTCCTCTCTCTCCTTTTCTTCATTTTGGACTAAATTTTAAAGCAAAATTTTAAACAAAAATTTTTCAATATGAGACCCAATAATCAGATATTACTATAAATTTGTCTTAAATTTTAATTTTAAAAATTAATCTTAACTGTCATTATTTTTAATCCAATAAACATAAAAAATAGTGGTAACAAAAATATATATTTCAAATTTTGAAGAGAAAAAAAAAAAAATCATCCTAAACTGACCTAGTCAAGCATCCTAGCCAATGACTACAATTAAATTCAAGTTTTTGTGAGGTAAAAAAAAGATACCATTTTGGTTTTGGTTTCCCTTTCTGGTCAGAAAACATCTAAATTGCACCTTCTTCCTTGTTGCCAGCAGCAGCCTTATGGTGTCGCCTAGAACCAGATCTCCTGTCTCTTCCATGACTAGGAGGAATCCTTTTCCCCGGAGTCTTTCCAGCTGCATGAACACTGGGCACAGCTGGCGGATGCTGAGCCACAGCAGAACCTGGTGGAGGTGGAGCCATGTGCTCCAATAAGTCTCTGTGGTATGCCTGTGCATTAATGGTCACTTTACAAATTAGTTAAGTTACAGAGAACAAAGTGCATCCATGAAGATGAATAGAATACTCATACACTACAAAAACACTCCTTTCACCTAGAAAACTTGAAGAAAATCTAGGAACTTTTATTCTTCAGTTAAGCATGTTATGCCATGGATGCATGGTTTTAACATCCAAAAACATTTGAAACATTTTTAATTCCTTAACCTATTTGAATTGCATCAAATCTAGTTAACAGTAGTGTCTAGACTCTTTAGGGAAGACAGCAATTTTGTAAGGCCTGTATTCTGGATGTGCATTTTTTTGCTTGAATTCTATAAGATAGGGAGAGCAAATAACGCAAAGGTTTGACACATCTTCCTCAGAGGCAATCAGAATTAGAGGAAAAAATTTTTACCAAGTTTTTAAGAGGATTTTACTCATCATACATATCAGGTGAAATAAGAAACAACATGCATTTGCCTTCTCCTTTTTCCCAATGTAAAGAGAGGAAAAAAAAACATATGCCTGTTTAATTCTCACAATTCATATTCTGAAAAAGTTTACAATGACAATGCAGAATACGAACCTGTATGACAAAGTTGCGTCTTTCACAATCCATGAACATATTGATGCTCCAATCAACTTTTGCAATTATTTTATCCCTCACTGTGGAAAAGCTTAACTGATCCCTGGAAGTAAAACGATTGACTTCATTGAACCACAAACATGTAAATAGATTTGTTATAGGAATATGTTCCCTTATGATTACACAACCTTCAGGAACATCTGCAGAAAGTCACAAATCATAAAGGTTAAACATTTTACAGACCATTGAGACACTGCAAAAGCACAATGTATGTGCATATATGAGTACGAAGTCATTTACCTACCACTGGTTATGGGAAGCTTAGCTTCAGAGTATGGTGTTAAACCCTCTTTCTTATAAAATTCAACCTGGTAGTCAATTGAGAAATTGTCATACTTTCCGGCAGCTTTATTAGCTTCAGCCTCTACAAAGACATCAAAGCGTCTATAGTGTCTTGAGATTGCAAAACTAGCATTTTGGCGCCACAAGAACCTAGGAGAAAAAGACACTTACACTTAAAGCAGATTGGTAGTCAAATTAATTTCAATTAGATCCTCAAACCAACCATCAAAAGTCATTAAATGCATCAAATTTAACACAGTACAAAGCTGGCGTATAACAGATCAATACTATATAAATAATGTATTTATCTAAGTCAAAAACAGTTTGACATCAACCGATTGATATCTTTTTCTTGCAGAAAAGGGTTTGTACCATAATTGAACTGCATCAAAAAGTTACAGGTTTGACCAAACTGGTGATTCGATATCTATTCTTTACCGCACTTAAAGAGTGTTTACCAACTCTCTAATATCTTTAGTAAATCACTTAGTATATAGTCTAATACGAAATCCACTACTGAGAAAAATCTATGGAGGAAAACACTTTGATCCACATGACATGTATAGAACTTGCTTAAGTTTCTGAAAACATAGAGAGGTACTGCATTGAACAGACAAGAATATAACAATGAAAGAAATGGGGCATACCTTTCAAGAATTTGGTATGGATCTACAACAAGCTGAAGCTTTCCATCAATCCATATAGAATAATGAACATTTGGAAATAATCTATGCAATAAAAGCTTTGGTACCTGCCACACATGCATGATACTTCAAAAAGACATAGAACCTCATGAATATAAATAAGTAAACCTAGAAAGTTTCTGACATTTGATAGTTGTATGACACCCTTTAATTCTTGAATGCTAAACTTTAAATGAAATGGAATCAAGTAAGCAAAGTTGAATGTAAGAACTACTCCTAAAGGCACAAATGAATCTTCATTTGCCACAACTAAATGCTAAAGGCAGAAAAAAAGGCTAATTGTATTTACACTCGAAATCTTGAATATTTTATTCATTTTTTTCCATCCTATCTTGGATGACAAAGTGATTCAAACCAAATGTTTCTTCAACTCCAAGAGTCTAAACCATGTTCTCCAACAATAACCAACCATTCCTAGAGACAGACTACATGAAAACATCATAACTACAGTTCACAGCCTCCTGACAGGCCCTGAAGATTAAATCTAAGATTGTAATTCCAAGAAACTCTGCTTTTGTTAAATTCCTTGTTCTCAATTTCTTCTTCTTGACTTAAGGTGCCCAGTTGAAGACATCATAAAGCACTCAACCTGTAAAGTGCATGTTGGCCCATTAAAAAGAGAAGGGTTTTAATCTCCCCATGCTCAGTAGCAAAAAATTAAGGGTGTTGTAGAAGCTAAGCTGATAAAAAAGAAGAAGAAGAAGAAGAAGAATTTTAATCAGAAGGATTAAAATAAATCAAACAAACCTAAACAAGTTCACCTTTCCATTACGTCTTGCATCACTGTAAGGAACATTATGGACAACAATAATTCTCCATAATCCAACCCTCATACTGCTGTCCAAGACACTGGAGTTCTTCATATATGCTTCTGTCTCTTCATCAATAAACATGAAGAAAGGAATATTATTCCTCGCCAGTTCACTAATATTCTTGGGTTGCTGTATTATGTCATAGTTCCCTGCAAATTGCAATTAAGGTGTGAAGATCTACATAAAGGTAAGAAATATTCTATGGAGGCTTGTACTCGTAGCAGTACCAAATATTGCTGATGCAACAATGGTGTCATAAAACTGTTCTAACTCTGTAAGTACAGCTTCATCAATGTCAAATCCACTATGGTGACCAGGCCTACTTCCCTTGACAAATCTGGCACCAAAATATTATGAACATTAAACATATGCAATAAGAAAAACAAGGTGCATCTATTGACTGAAAATAATTAAAACCAGTACATGCCATCATTAACAAAAAAGGAAAAATAAATTAAGATCAGATGCGTTTCTTTTAGGAAGATCGCTGTTTACAAGATATCAATGAGACAAAAGTACTGGAAGGCAAAACCTACCCACAATGCACTGTCATGGATTCTTGTATGTCAAAAGAATCATTTCTCTGCTGCAGAGATGGATACCCGCCAAAGTCAGAGCCCCCATGTGGTTCTGTTTTTATTGGATTTTCATCATGAATATATACTAAATTATGAAGAACCGGAGATGTTGATGGAGAGCTTGGCATGCTAGCTATAGCCTGCTCTACAGGGAGGTAACATACTGGACAAGCTGCATAACAGATGAGTGACAACGCAGTCAGTAACATGATAAGAACACTATTTGCTGATAAAAAAAAAAAATAATAATAAACACCCCAAAACCCCAAAGCTGGGCACAGTAAGTGCTAGACAGATTTATGAAATCTTTCCTACATCTAGTATATTTTGTTTAATGTATTGTAGCAAGATACTGATATTTATGTCTTTACATATTTACATTCCGGAACAGGATCCAAGACCTAATTAGCATTACGCTAGAAAAATGAAAAAACTCAAACTTACGGCGTGGTCCACTCCGTCTAAGAGCTGCTGGAGGGGGAGGAGGCAATGCAAAATTTTTGCATGGATGCTCTGATGGAAAAACAGCTGCACCTCTAGAAAAGGAAGGTGGAGGAGGATGCTGGACTCTATTTTCATCACTTCCCCTGACGCTGTTCTCAGTAGAAGAATTTCTACTGTCCTGATTTCCTTTTCCTTCGTGCATGCCAGAAATAACAGGATCACTTGCTATGTCATTGCTATGAGGAACCAAAGATCCAATCCGTTGAGCAGTATTTGAACCAGCACTTTCTGGTTCATTGATCAAACAAAAAGTAAACAAAATGCATGAACAATTTACACCCTCAAAACAAATGACAGCAGTATACAACCATTCCATGACAAAAAAGAGGAGTACAAAACCATTATTCTACTCAATAGCTGTTCCTCAAAAAGACCTATAACACAACAGCTAGAATTATATGGATTTAACCATTATTCTCTCAATAAAGTTTAATGTCCTAATAATGAGGATATTCTAAACAATCCAGAATCCAAAAGTAAGATGAAGGGAAAAATTTTGCTAAGCAATAAGAAAAAGGAAAGGACAGACCTTTATTAACTGTGAAGAAACCCAAGACAAAAACCACAAGAGCTAGTGCGACAAGAAGCAACATAGAAACCTTCCGGCGGCCTAGATACCGGCACCAAAAAAAGGGCAGGGTTCTATCATTTCCTGAAACAATCATCCTTCCAGAGGACTTTCGTGCAACAACTGGAGACTTTCCTTGCAACAATCCTCCACCACCAAAACTGCTGAGGTTGTGTAACTGCAGTGACCCATAACTTCCCGTTCGTTGACCCAATGACCCTCCAGTCATCGTATCTCAAATCCAATTACAGCTCGTTCAAATCTCATTTCCTTTTTCCTCGCATTCACCAAAAAACCCAGGAATTCTTTCTCCAATTACTTCTACAAAGCTTTTTCTTTGCTTTAATACGCACTGTTTCAATTCAGACAAACAAAGACCCAATTTAAAGTACAAGATTGAAGACCATTCTGAACCTTCGAATCAGGATTTCAATCACAAAATCCACCAGAAATACCAACAAACCACTTCTTCGATTTTCCTCTAGATACAACATCAAATTGAGAAACGACCCACTTTCTCAAATGCATTTGTCTGCCATCTAGAACCAATGTGCTTGGATTCTGCGGACAAACGGGAAAAATCAAGTGCAACTTGCTTCCATACCAAGTGTTCGAGAATCATGAAGCAAACCAATAAAAATCAACACCCTCTTCTCAATTTCAGTAAACTTGACCTCAATAGCCGATGTGATTCGATTTTTGAACAATGCTATCTCCCCACGTATTTTAATCGAGGAAACACCTGCAAGCAACAATTCTTCGTTATTAACAAAATCTAGTTTTTTTTTTTTTCCTTTAAACTTTTAGAAATATAACGTTGCAGAACCGAAGGACCCAGAAACTTCCATTGAATTTGATACATAGGAATTTCAGGCAGAAAAATCCGCTGCAAAAATCGGGAAACGGCTTACCTTGAAAGAATGTTGCCGCTCTTTTGATGGTGTTGGTTTTCCTGCCGACTGCGATTTAATTTCATTTTTTTTTCTTTTGTATGTAAAATAACCCAAAAAAATATTTTACAAATGTTTTGGGTAATTTATAAATTTATTAAAATATTTTTAATAAATTATTATATTATAAAACACAAATCACATGAAATATATATTGAAGAACTAACTAAAAATTAATAAATGAACTTTTTAAAAAAATGATAATTTTGAACCGTGATCCTAAAGTGGGAAAATGCACTTATTCTTGACTTAACATCATTAAATTTGAAAGTTTAAGTGCATTTAATTTTTTTTTAATTATTTATATTTTACAATTTGATATCATTTATATATAAAATATAAATTTTTTAGTAATTTTGCCGCTCTTAGAATTCATTTTTAATTTTGTTGATAGCGGTAAAAGATTTGTTTATTATAGGCTTGATAGCAACATTAAAAGATAAAAAATCTAAAAACAAGGTTCTCTTAACATTTAAGTGATTGTTGGTGAAATTATTTAAATATTTTTAATAAATACTTTTTCTATATTAATTAATTAATAGTATTAGTTTTAATTGTAAGTAGATGTCTTATTTTTTTACTATCTCTTGTACCTCTTAACAAAATGTATTGATTAGCACTTGAACTTTCAAGTTCAGTAACGTCAGGTCACATATAAATGTATTTTTTTTTTTCAAGACAACAGTTCGAACTCAACTTTTTACGAATTTGTTCAAAAAAAAAAACAAAATATATTGATTATAAATGCCAATAAGCATATACTATTGAATATTATTGAATATTTTATTTTATGTAGTTGGACATTAAATATTAAAATTATTAAAATATTTTTAATAAAAGATCTTCAAATTTATTTATTAATAAATATGGTAATTTTATTGCCCAAATTATTATAAAAAAAATGCAGTCCTTCTCAATTTTAAAATTAAATCATTAGTCCAAACACCTTTGTAAGGCTCTTTTTTTTTGGACGGTGTTGCATATGCTGCTTGTTCCACAGGCTTTTCTTTTTTTTTTTCTCATTTTTTTGGTAAGCCCAAGCTTGTAATTGCACATTTGGTTTTAATAGATAAAAATCACTGAACTTACGCTCCGTTGCTTTCAGTCAACAAAATCGTTTGGGACCATATCCATAACTTAATGACCAAATTGGACAACAAACCTAATTAAATGTAAAAATAAAACAAAAAAAAGTGCATATTAGTCTCCATTTTTAAAATAAATTAAAGTTTCAATTTTAAATTATTTTATTTTATTTAATTAAAATTTAATTAAAAATTTAAAAATTTATTTTATTAAATGTTAATATGTAGATTTGAAAATTAATTACGTTAAAATATATAATCGATTTTCAAATTTAAGCATCAATATTTAATAAGATAAAATTTTAAATTGTGAATTAATATTTTAGTTTCTAAATGTAAATTAAAATTAAAATTTTTAAAAAAATCAAAATTGATATACATTAATTTTAAAATAAAAAATATAAGTGATACTAACTGAGTAGGAATAACAGTCCATTAGTTCATATAAACAGAGAAGACCATATCTCATGCCATTTCATTGCAGAACTTAGGAATCACATACATAACTGACTAATAATTCACTCTCCACACTTATAAGCTATATTAGGACAAAGATTATTTGACCCAATTGCACATTATTTTTTAGTGTCAAAGTCCCACGATTTTGCTTAACAAGTGCCACTGCAGGTGCATGCGGTTTGTGCAGGAGCAGCTGGAGCCACACTTGCTCTTACCGTCGTTCTTTCCAATGGAATCCTCCATCACAACTGAGGTGATGTAGTTGCGAAAATAAATGTTACATAGGGTTCTTATCGCCATAAAAGGGGTAGGTCTCCGTTTATAAGCTACATACCCTTCACATCTTTTATTTATTTAATTTTTTTTTAAGTTTTGGTGGTAGAATAATAAGTAATATTTTTTTATTTGTTAACTTACTCTATTCATATACGACATAATTATAAATTTATAATTTATTATTGTTATTATTAAAAATTTTATTAAGTTATTTATATTATTAATCAATCATATTTTTTCATTAATTTATATTCAACGAGCATTTCTATTCTTCACTCAAACAATTATAACGCTTTTAACAAGTATTCTAACAAATCTTGTCTAGTTTATTGTATTCCAAATTCCAATTAATTTTAAAAAAATGTTTATAAGACACTGTTGTAAATATATATTAGAAGGAAATTATCTCTTTTTAGTCTCAACAATGTCAGCAGTGTACCCTTCTTCCTGTAATGACAAAGACAACGTTGCGACCTTAATTTTCTGATAATTAAGAAAAGGAATGATATATGGAGAACTTGCCCCAGGTGGGAATAGACCTTAATTTGGCGAAACTCCATTGAAGAATGAATGCATTTGCTCCTTCTATATTACGATACACGTTTAGCCAAAACCTATATATATTTAATATGTGATATATATTTTAAAAGGTATTTTATTGACTAGACCTTTAAAAAGTATTTCATTGATTAAACCTTAAAAAAAGTAGAGGAGATTTGAGAATATATTTAATTCTTTTCTCTTTTTTTTTTTTCATTTTTCATTAGCATATTTCAACAAGTAAATGATAGGTATAGTATAGATGCCCTAAATATTGACCGGCCACATGTTGGAATTCTTCTAAGGAGGATTAATTTTCTTTTTCAAGATTCATGAGAAATTCTCTTATTCCTTGAAAGACTCGTTGAATAAAGCATGGGCTAAGAATTGCCAAAATGGCTTTTGCTCACTCAGTGTTGTTTCTCTCTTTTGCTTTTCCTACCACTTTATCATCCAACTTCCACAAAAATACAAATCATCCGACCCTTTACCTGATTTACATGTCAAAAGTTTTTAATGGTCCATAGGTAAAATAGAAAAGTAATGTGCACTTTGCTTTTATAATTATATAGACGAATGAAAGGCACCCCATATTAAAGTCGTTCTTCTTTTATTAATAATTGTAAAATATATAAAATTTAGGTGAATCGCAAAACTACAAACCCTAAATAAAACTAGTGCCTAAATATTTCATACTACTATATTTGAGGACCGTTGACGGATTCAATACTTGAATGGTTTATTCCTATTTTCAGAATTTTGAAGAAATACTATTTGATGAAAGGAACTACAAACAAAAGTAAAATTTTATCATGAAAATATATGGTTAGGTGATTTGATAGGAAACCCCAGTTGTTGTTTATTTCTTCTGGGTGGATCTACTACCCAATGGCAGAGCAAAAAGAAAAATTCCCTCATAATTAAATTGCTTCTCAAGCAAGCAACGGCTGGTTTCTTTCAAATTTTCTTCTCAAAGAAAGCATATATACCCTCATGACATTCATGTTTTCAATCTTTTTTATCCACACAAATTAAAGAGAAAATCATATCATGCTCATGCATGTCCTTCCCACTTTCTTCCTCCCCGTGCATGTCAGTCCATATGCACTGAAAGAAAAATGTGTGATTTGTAGTAAAGAGACCTAGCACCACTAGACAGGGGTTGCCCACGAAAGGTATTAGCAAGTGAAAAGCCAGTAATTGTAAGACCATGAAATGTTAGTCATTCAATTAATGAAGGAATTTTGCCTCAATTATTAGGGATCTTCGTAATTTTAATATTTTATAATTTATTACGATTTAAATTATAAAACACTTTTTAAAAAACATAGAAAATACAAAATGACCATGCAAAATGGGCTTATAAGTGCTGGAGATGATATGCGAGTGCCCATCCATGCACATCCGCTATCCAGTTATCCACCAAGGGCTTTATTATTTTTCCTACACACCACCATGGAGGATGTGGAAAGGAAAATCAAATGATTCTTATTTCACAATGAAAACTCCTAAGTACATTTTTAAAAAAAATTATCCTACATAAAATATGGCATTTCATAACTTATACGCTATGCAATTATTTAAAATTGAACTAGTATACTATATTTATTTATCAATAAATTTATAATTATTTTATAAAAAAATTGAGTTGGTGTTAAGGTATTTTTACTTTGATAATGGTATGATTACAATGTTATATAAAATTATAAATTTATAATCGTAATGTGATATTAAATAAATGTAACTTGTTATCAAATAAGTTCATGTATATGATATTATGGGTGGTATCTTAAGTGCAAAGAACAAATTATATAACAATTAATTATATTATAAACTCTTAATATCACGTGATATTATAATACATTATTTTTATTTTTAATTTAAATTAAAATAAAAAAGTATTATGTTATTCAAATTATATCAAATTAGATCATATAAATTATTGAATAGAAGCAAGTCACTAATGGTATAAACTATCTCGAGAAAATGGACAAATATAGATATCAACATTAGAATTTTTTTCTATTTAAGGATATTAACTTTATCAGTTTTTAAATAAAGATATTAATTTTCAATTTTTTTAATTTAAAAATGTCAACTTTTAACTTTTTCTATTTAAAAATATCAACTTTTAGCTTTTTCTATTTAAAAATTAATTAGATAATAATACTATATTTAAGGATCTTAACTTTGTCAGTTTTTAAATAAACATATTAATTTTCAATTTTTTTAATTTAAAAATGTCAACTTTTAACTTTTTCTATTTAAAAATATTAACTTTTAGCTTTTTCTATTTAAGAATTAATTAGATAATAATACTAACATGAAAAATAAATTTTTTAATTAGAATGTTGAAAGTTAATATCTTTAAATAGAAAAAATTAAAAATTGACATTTTTAAATAGAAAAAAATTAAAAGTTGATATCATTATTTAGACTAATAAAATTAATATCTTTAAATAAAAAAAATACAAAATTCACATAAATTTACACAATTTCTCAAACTATCTCTATCTAAAGGTTTTTGTTTTATACAATATATGAAGGAAAAATAGAACTCAAATTTAAAAGAAAAAAAAAAGCTATTGGTTAAAAAGATTAAAACATCATAATTTTAAAAGTAAGAATAAAATAGTTTTAAGTTTTTTATAATATTTTATTAACATAACATAATTTTATAATATTTTTGTGCTTAATTTTTTTTATAAATTCAACTAATAATTATTAACCCCTATAAAATTATTATACAATCTCAATTTTTCAGATAAAAAAAAGGCGATATCTGTTTTTCAATTATTAACTTTCCACATAAACTCTGCCTAGCCAAAATCTCCCGACCCAACTTAGCCCCACAAATCCATTGCCTATTTTCCAAAAAAAAAAAAAAAAACTTAGCCCCACAATCCATACACGTGGATTATAATTTCGTCATAACGAGCCCGAGACGCGGAAGAGAACTGCACAACACGCTTCTTCCATCAATCCTATCCGTGCACCTTGTAGTTATAAATCTTTGCAAAAATAAAAAAGTAAAATAATTTA